TGACCATTGGCTGAAAACTTTCAAGATGGGATCAAAATAAATCTTTTGTCAGATGATCTGTGATAATGATGAAAATCCATATTAAATAAATGGCCAGATTGGAAAATAAATAGTTCATCCAGAAAAATTAGATATGAAGAGAATTTTTTATTTGGTAGTTATTATGTGTCTATAAATGGGTCCTATGTAGGTATAAATATGCTTTTGAAATTTACATACAGGTCAAAAATAGCAAAGTAAGATGAAACACACTTCTGTTAATCCTGTGGCCCTCTGTATCATGTAAGAAGATAAGGACAATTTCTGGCCCTCTGGATCATTTGGAGAAAATGTTCCTACTTTTGTATTTATCTCAAGACCTTTTGGGAAATTCCAAAAATTGAGAATGTCATATTCTGCATGTGATTTCCTTTTCCAATCCAGAACCACCTTGTCTCCAGCATGGTTGATGAATTTAGTGTTATTTAGAAAATGGTGAACCTGGAAGATATACATGCTGTTATGCTACATAAACTCCAGAGACATACAACTGAGGCATAATTAGGCAACATCTCTTCTTGATTTTAATCCCTATTGTGAAAAACACCTTTAATACAGGTATCAGTCATATCAATCAAGTTATATCCAAGGATAATGGAAACATCACTATAGTTCTAAAATATTCCAATTAGTTCCATTAGAAAACTTAGAACAGTCCAGTCACTGAGCCGACGCCGAGGACTCAGCTGCCTCCCCCTTGAGCCCCCTTGCTTTGTGATGCTCCCCCCTCCGCCCGCCTTCTCCCACAGCTGCTTTCTGCAGCCTGTTTCCACTGAGGAAAAGAAATTGTATCGTATGTCCGCTATCCAGAACCTCCAGTCTTTCTACCCCTTTGCTGATGCAAGTAAGGGTGATGACCTGCTTCCTGCTGGCACTGAGGATTATATCCATGTAAGAATTCAACAGAGAAACGGCAGGAAGACCCTTACTACTGTCCAAGGGATCGCTGATGATTATGATAAAAAGAAACTAGTGAAGGCATTTAAGAAGAAATTTGCCTGCAATGGTACTGTAATTGAGCATCCAGAATATGGAGAAGTAATTCAGCTACAGGGTGACCAGCGCAAGAACATATGCCAGTTCTTGATAGAGATTGGACTGCTAAGGAGAACCAGCTGAAGGTCTATGGGTTTTAAGTGCTTGTGACTCCCTGAAACTTAAGTGAGGATTTCCTTGCAATGAGTAGAATTTCCCTTCTGTCCCTTGTCACGAGTTTAAAAACCTCACAGCTTGTATAATGTAATCATTTGGGTTCCGCTTTTAACTTGGACTAGTGTAACTCCTTCATGCAATAAACTGAAAAGAGCCATGCTGTCTAGTCTTGAAGTCCCTCATTTAAACAGGTCAAGCCTGAAACACAGCAATAACAATGTTTCAGCCAAGCCCAGAGGCCCAAGTTCATAGGCTGTGTCTGCCCAGAAACTCCTCAGCTCTCCCTCTATAGAGTCCCCCACCCTAGGAGAATGTCATCACTTGAGCAACCCAGGTAAACAAGAGAATGGGTGACACCACAGCAGCTGTGCCACCAGAGGGAGTCTGGCAGGGACCCCCGGTGTCTGACCATGTGGGCAGAATTCAGAAAGGGCCACCTTTTCTGAGGTCATGGACATCTGGCTCACCACCAGGGTAATCTTTAGCCAGATAGATCCTAGCTAAGGGATGTCGAAACAGCTGAAGGGTGAGGCCAGCCTAGTATCAGTTAACTAACGACAAGGGAACAAATACCAAACTGATGCCATCAGTCACGTGGCTAGCTGTGGAGGTTTCTACTCAACTGGTGGCAGCTGTCCAGTGCCATATGAATGAACAAACTGATTTTTTTTTGTTTTCTTTTTCCCTTCCTTTACTGTTATGTAATGTATTTAAACCCTTATTTAAATAAAACTTGTTCTCAGAAATAAAAAAAAGAAAAAGAAAACTTAGAACCAAGCACTCCCAAATCATATATATGCATGGAGCAAACTCCCACCTTCTTTTAAAATATAGTCATACCTCAGCGTGAGAGATGGCTTTGAGGTTAAGAGCACTGACTGCTCTTAGAGAGAACTGGGGTTCAGTTCCCAGAACCCACAGGGCAGCTCACGACTGTCTGTAACTCCACTTCCAGGGGATGTGACCCCTTCACCCAGACATACATGCATTAAAAACACTAATTTCATAAAATAAAATAAACAAAAGTGAAAATTTAGTCACTTCCAATTATGTTTTGAAAATATTTAGAGTTACACTACACAAAATGAGAGATTTTATGAGTGTGCATTTATGTAACATAAGCATTTTAGAAGTATCCATGTCCATTGTTGCAATTCTTTGTGTGTTTTCTGTTGTGTGAAATCCCTGGGGTTAATGGATGTTTCATATTGAAGAATTTACCCTGGAAATATTGTATGACTCCTTGCAATAAAACTACATATCGACTTAAAACAGATTCTTCCTTGCACAGTCTCTATCATAGATTTTGAGAAAATAATCTAAACTATGTATTGTCTAGTTTTAGTGCATTTATAAACCCTTAGTGTGGCATCTTGCTGATGTTATAATACCACAGGAGTGACATTACCTGCCATGGGAAGAATACCATCTCTTTTCCTTTTCCATGAGATTGAAATTGTACTTGATTGAGAGTCATCTCATGCAGTCTATGGGCCACACCATACACTGCATTGTACACATTGTAACTCTCTTCACTCATGGCCATGACAAATATATTCCCTGGCAAGAATCTCAAAGAGGCATTAAGCAGTTATCCACCTTTTTACAATCTTCCTTCAAAAAGGAGCAATTGAAGAATGAGTGCCATAATACATGAAGATAAATGTCTTATGGGTATTTGTAAGGATTGGCTTTCTGGATAAAATCTATAAAAGTAATAATCTCTGTAGCTGGAGAGTTTTCTCTCTGGGTTCTGCCAAGCCCTGGCAGTCTGACAACCCACTTATAAAATAAACACACAGATGCTTATATTATTTAAACTGTTTGGCCTAATGGCCCATCCTTCTAGTTATCTAGTTCTTACATCTTTAATTAACCCATTTCTATAAACCTATACCTTGCCACGTGGCTCATGGCTTACCAGAATCTTCACAAGCTGCTTTTCATGGTGGCAGCTGGCAGTGTCTCCTTGCCTCTGCCTTCCACTTCCCAGAATTCTATTATCTGCTTGTCCCACCTATACTTCCTGCCTGTACACTGGCAATTAGCATTTTATTTATACAAAGTGATATCCACAGCACTTCTCCTTTTCTTTTTTTTTTTAAAAAAGAAGGTTTTAACTTTCACATAGTAAAATTACATATGACAAAACAGTTATCTAGCAAGAATTATAGTTACAATATCTAGTCTATTTGTATTTGGCAAAACTAAAGAAGATATCCTATCTCTCTTGTATTTGTGAGTCTAAGGATTCATATCTAACTTATCTTTTATCATAACTGAGGAACAATCTAGTCTTCAACTACATCAAGATCTTCAAACACTTCAAAGACCTACAGAATATGGCATTTAAATATTTTTTAAAAATTTAGACTTTCTGTTCAGTGAGATATGACTGCTCCTGGCAGCACCAATTTACTTCAGAAAGGAGGATGGGCATCAAAGACATTCTATATGGAGTTTATCTTCTTCTTGGCAAAAATAGCCATTTGGGGAAGAAATTGTTCTTGTCTGGACTACTTGATTGACTAGACCTGCAGGACCCATAGGAAGGTGACCACTGAACTTTGCTTGGCAAAATGGTCCTTCAGGTTCCTGCTTCACAGAGGAAACTTGCGGACATTCTACAGGACACAGAGAGAAATGACTGAGAGAATCTAGGCCTGTGGGTTGAAGACAGATGCCCCAAATTTACAAAGGAACATTAGGTGACTGTCCAGGCTAACAGCTGTCTCTGTCTACCCTGCAAGACTCCTGAAAGTTGTTTTTGTCCTTCTTCCAGTTCTCGGATAATATTATATTCTTCTGGGGTCTTTGATGTAGTTGAAGATTGTCTGTTTATCTTAAATATATTTATATATACCTAGAAAACTTAACTAACATGCTACAAGTTTGACTATCATAGAAAACTAATTATTAATCTGTATTTCTTAATTATCCATTACAACCTAAATGAGTTACATAAACATAATACCTCAAACGAGAGTATATATACAGTATAACAAAATTAACTTCAAATTTGTATCAATAAACTAAAATCCATAGCAATGTAAAACATTTCAAAACACGTTGTTGCTCTGTAAAAGCAGCTTCATTAATCTATCCATTTATCCTATCATATCTATACTATATCCCCTTTTCTTCTTTAGAAAGAGATCACATTTATAATCAACCTGATTTAAATAAAAACACTGTTTTTTTAATGTCCCACACCAGAGGGCTCTTTTGATATAGGACATAAGAATCTCTTAACTTTTTTTAAAGCAATATGTTTGGGTTTAGAGAAGGAGCGAGCCAATTCCATCTCCAAAGCCAGCTTGGTATATTTGGGAATTTGGGCATAGCATCTCTTATTACTTCCTGCTGAAGGGGGAGCTATATCTTATGGGGACACAAACAAAATTTTAGGCTTATAGGGTAGTCTGTGAGGCTGTATTGTCTGAGCCAGTTGCCTTGAAACCGTTCTGGATGTTAGATCATCTGGGCCATGGTGCCATCAGAGAACTTTCAGGGGGTTTTGGCTGGTCAAAACTGTTGTATCTTAATCTGGAACAAAACCATAGCCTCTTGTTTTTTGTGGAAACAAATGCAGGGCCTCCTTTCCAAAGCAACATATCCTTAGATCCAAATTTTGAAGTCAAGTTACCTTTAAAATATCCATATTGGTTTAACACAACAGCTTTTATGATCAAATGTTTTTCTGCAGTTAAAAATCCCAAAGACAACACAATCCAGATTCTCTGTGTAATATTTATCTTTATGTGGTTTATTTTTTATATTAATTTTACTGTCTCTTTAAAGACTTTATTTTTTAAAGCTATGTATGTATTTACATAACTGTATATATCACCTTTTTTGTCTCTTTCAAGTTTAGGTATATTTTACACACAATGTAATGTACTACATCTGAATCTGTCTTATTTTGAATCTATTGCTTTAAACTGCAGCACTTGTAAGACTGAAAGGGTGCTATGGCATCTGGCTCCACCAACCTCAGCTTCTAAAAGTGGTAGTAAGTTTACCACCAGCTCTAGGAGCCATCATGGGTCTATGCTTTTATCCAAGCAGCGTGAGTACATGGTGGCTGCTCTATGTAGGCTTAAACTAAGTTTCTATCATTTTATTTACCAACAAAGACTGAGAAGTCAGATGTGAGGGTGAAAATCTGTTACATCAGAGAGACCAAAGAGCATCCATCTGAATTTCCAGTTTGACTGGAGACACATCAACAGACATGTCTCTCCATTCATCTCAAAGCAAAACAAAGAACCAAATTCCATGTCTCACACTGCCCCTTCCTGTGCTGTCTCTCTATCTGTATTCCTGATTTATCAGAACCCTCTATGGCTAATTCCATTCAGATATTTGCAGGCTCTGCCCCACTGAACCAAGGCTGATTTTACTTAATTAATGCATATACATTACAGTGTGATTGATATCCTGCAGAAATACAGACAATATTTACAGGTTTAATAGTGGTGTGTCTGCTCCATCCTTCCTTCCCCTTCTCTTTCTTCTAAGCTACAAAAATATACATGTGTCAACTGTGTCTGCTTTATTTCCCTATCCATGAAGAGTTACTCAAGCTTGCTGTTTTCCTCACAGACGGCTGACATGTCACCAAGCAGAGATGATATCATGTCTTATCCCATCACCTTCTCTCACCTGTGGAAATTTGTAAAGATCCAGCAGTGTTGCTATGTATTCAGATACTGCCCATGGTGGTCCTGTAAGTACAGCAGCTGACATGCTATCTCTTGTACACCTATAGTTAGGGATGCCATAGCCAGGGCCTGAAAGGGAGCCAAAAAGAGCTGCCAGAGTGGCCCTTTGACCATTTGGGACATTATGTACCCCAAATCCCAGGGATGTATTAGGTAAAAGATAGGGATTACTCTTGATCTCCTCAATGGCAAACATCATGGCCAAAATACATTGGTAGTTCCTCAACTTGAACCTGTACAGAAGGTAGAACAATATTTGGGAGAAAGACTTACACACAACCATAACATATGTGCAAGCAAATGGAAAATAGATTTTTTTCATACAATATAATCTTATTACAGTTTTCCCTCCACTAACTACTACAGGTTCCCCTCAATTCCCCTCTTGCTCAAATCTATACCCTTTCTTCCTCTCTCTTATTAGAAAACAATCAGGTATAGAAATTCATGATAAATTAAAATGAAAACAAACAAGCCGATATTGGATAAAATAAGTAAACAGAAGAAAAAAATCCAAAGAATAAAGACAAGAAACACAAGGGAGGAAAAGACACATATTTTCATACAAAGAAAATCATGAAAAGAAGTAATCAGAAACAGTAATTGTGCACAAAAATCATGTAATCTTAAAAATTTAACATCCACAAATGCCACTAAGTTTATTTTTTGTTTTCCCTCTACTACTGAGCATGAGGCCTGACCTTAAGAATTTTTTGTATACCCAGGGAGACTCCTTTGAAGAAAACTAGTTATTGTATTTGCAAATGGTTAGTGATGGAGGCTTGTGACAACATGGAGCTGGCTCCTGAATTAAAGATGAGGGCTTGTGTTCACTTCCTTTCTCAGTGCTGGCAACCCATCTGTCTTAGTGGTACAGGCCTTGGGCATCCTTCCCAGTCTCTTGAGTTCATATGTGTATCAGTCCTGCTATGTTTAGAAAGTCTTATATCCTCAGTGTCTTCGACTTTCTCTGACTCTTATAATCTTTCCACCTCCTCTTCTATCGGGTTCCCTGAGCCCCAAGGGAAGGGACTTTAAGAAGACATCTCATTTAGGACTGATTGTTCCACAGCTGAAGGGAACATCTCTGATGATAACCGAGTGACACAATGATCTATGAATATTGCAGAATATCCTTAGGAGACTTTACATTGCTACATGTCTTTAGCAAAACAATAGTATTTAGTTTCCCCCTGGTTCCATGGCCTATCTTGTTTCAAGTTTTTGACATTCTGAGAAGGGTTGGGTTCCTTCTCATGGAGTGAACTTAAAATTCAATCAGATAGTGGTTGTTTAGTCCCACAAGCTTTGAGCCAATTTGAGCCAGTATATCTGACAGGCAGGACATTGTTAGAGATTGGAGGGTCTATGGTTAGGTTGTTGTTTACCTCCATGCATTCTCCCTACAGACTACCCTCCAGTTACATGAACACTAGTGTATAGGAACAAAGATTCTAGGTAGGAACTAGTTCAACTTCTCCATGTTGAATGAGTCCTGTGGTGTTGTCTTTATCAATGGGGCTTTACCATCAATTTGTGGAGAGCAACCAATAACTTTGGCAGGAGCCTGGGTTATTTGGGCATTTGCAGGGGGGCTGTTTGATAACAATTCAATAACTCTTCCCCAAACTGGAAGTTTTGCCTGTTGGTGAGAAATATTTGGTTGGTGAGAAAAATGGGCTTTCTCTCCCATTTTTTTCGTGATTTCATTGAGATTTCTTTCATATATGTATATATTTTAAGAAGCTGCTACTTTATTAAATTCCTATATGACTTAAGAGCTCTTTGTTTTATTTCTTTAAGACTATGAAAAACCCTGAATGTGAACCTCCAAATATTTTGAGCTCTGAGAATGTAAGGAAAGATTCAGTTGCCTTATATCTCTAATAAACTCTGTCCATGAGTTAGAAGTAGGTCTTCAGCCCTTCTAGAACTCAACTTTCAATCTGCACAACCATGAAAAATAAAATAATTCTTGATCAAGCCACCAGTTACTACAATATTGTTTAATTCAGGAACTTCCAGGCCATTCAACCTGTCTGAATATCAGTTGACATTTCTATAACCATTCATTTTTATGCGTGTTGTATAATATGTGTATATATTTTTCTGTGGTGTGTGTACATTCACATGATGCTAGACAGTGAAAACGTCAAATAGGGGTTGTTATCTTCATATGTATTTAATAACGCATATTTTGTGGTGCATAAACTTGGATTTTTCCTGCTTCTCCCCTTCATTTCTCCAAAAACAACAGGTTTACACATCTGCACTGTAATGCTCCCTCCCCCATTTTGCTTTTGTGACCTGCAAAAGTCAACTCAGTTCTTATATTGCACTGCAATCATGTTACCTTCTGATATATCTACTCAATCTGTTAATATTAGTCACTAGTAAGGAAAATAACTTGCACTCTGTAGCCATCAACTTTCCCCACACATGGAAGAATATTATGACTTTTCACAGGGAAAATATAATATTTGGAAAAATCTTGTTTCATTAAGTTTGTATTTTATACATAGTTCTTTGATTTGTTTGCCAAAGCTCATTCCCTGTCGACATGCTTTTAATGATTCATATAAATGCAATATTATTTTCTCCATGTTGCTGGGTTTTGTAGAAGAGAGGAAGAATAACACCTTAAACTCATTTGATAAGAAAACAGACTTTATTCTATTTGTACCTATTTTCTCTGAGACTGTCATCATGAAGTGATGTTGGATTTTTTTAGAGGCCTTACTCCATTTAACCAGATGATTCATTTTTTCCCTGTCATTTAGTGTGTTTAATGGTGGATTACATTTATTGATTTTAGAGGTGTTGAACCAGTCCTGCATCTACTGGATAAGGCCAACATGATCATGGTGTATAATCATTTTTGTGTGTTTTTCAGTTCAGTTTTCAAACATTTTGTTTTTATGTTCATAAATGGTTACCCTCTAATTTTTCTTCATTTTATAGTAGGGTGTTGTTGCTTTTGAAATCAGGGTAATAACATGTTGAAAACATAAATGTTCTTTCTTTTTCTATTTTGTGCAATAGATTGAGAAATATTAATGTTAGTTCTTCTTTGAAGGCCTGATACAATTTTGCACTGACTCCATCCAACTTTAAAAATTTATTTTAAACTGGGATATTTTTAGTTAATGTTTTAAACTCACTGGATGTTATTTATCGATTTGAACTATTAACTCCAATTGTAACTTCATTGGTACATTATTTTTATATCTTGAAATTTCTCTATTTCTCTAATTTTTTCAAATTAGAGGAATATATGAGTTTTATAACATATCCTTATGATCATCTGACACTTCCTCAATGTCTGTTATAATCTCTCCCCTTCCATCTCTAATTTTATTAATTTGAATTCTCTTTTTTTCTTTTGTTGATTTGACCAAGATGCTATTAATCCTAGTATTGGCTGCATTCTTTCTTTCTATTGAATTTTTCATTTCTTTGTATATATATATATTGTTTTACAACACCATTCAGTTCCACATAATAGCCACAGATTCCCCTGTTCTCCCCCTCTCCCTCCCCCCTGCCCACCCCCTATTACCACCTCCTCCAGATCAAGGTCTCCCCTGAGGACCGGGATCGACCTGATAGACTCAGTCCAGGCAGGTCCAGTCCCCCACTCCCAGACCGAGCCAAGCGTGCCTGCATAAGTCCCAGGATTCA